CAGTTAGTAATATAGTGAACGATTAATCAAAATATATGAAGTGTCCAGTACTCAGTTTGATTGGCTATGTGCAAGTTGAATGTGTGAAGGCCACGCCTTAGAGTCTTTAAACTGCTTTGTAATTGGTTAAGTTTTTGATACGTAATAAACAGACTAAGTCATTGGTCACGGAAAGAGAGAGAGAACTCCACAAAGCGAGAGAGTCTTGGTCAGTGCTGGGCAGAGAGGCTTTGACGAGGCAGTTTGCCATGAGGCATTCTTGATGTGGCTAATGACTAGCTATTGAAAGTATTTCGTTGTATGCGTCTATTTGACTGTAAAGCTTAAGTGACTTTCCCTGTTCGGTACCTCAAGAGACGTGTATAGAGACAGACGATATTCCCCCCTGACACGTGTTGGAGAACCCCAAGGCCAGAAAATAATTTCCCCATGATACTACACCCAGGTGTATTAGAGCTTACCTGTCTTCTCATCTAGTAGGAGGTTAATCCTGGGGTTATCCACAAGCTTTTCACTGAGCTGATGTATAATGAAACCCCTGTCCCAGCCAAAAACGTTGATGGCCTGGTTGTCCTGCTTCTCGACCTTCTGAATCTAGCAGATAGGTGTCGGGGCATCAACCACTGTGAAATCCAGGCCACCTACTGTGGGATATGACGTTGGTCCGTGGGATGTATTTCTGTTGCGAAGAGGGCAAATTACATCGGATGAAGCTGTCATTTTAGTTTTTCACCTTGATGTTTCTTATCACTGCCACTGGTAGTTGGATGTACAGGCCGACCCTCAGTGACCGATAATGGCAAAAGGGTCATAACTCTTCTAATTACCCACCCATAGTCTTTCTGAGTATCTCCTTAATAGGGGAAGCCCTATCTAGTGCCTCATTGGTCCCATCAGCTTGTAGGACTGCCTCCTACTTGTGACAGAGAACTGTATCTGTATACTCCTCAGTCCTCTTTGAATTTTATGAGCAAGTTGATACTTAACTCCAACAGGAGCAAGGATATTTTCTGTGGGTTCCTGGTGAAATGGAGGGGCACAAATCTTTCAAGAATCTCTTGGGCACCAAGGGGATGATCTTGAGATACATCCTATCTGCCTCCCATGCAGGTAAGTACCTACTGCTGCAATCCTCATTCCTAAATGTGAGTTCAAACTGCAAGAAATGCTGCCAAAACTCTCTAGGGCGATATGTCTCTGCAGGACTTTTTCTTGGCCACAGGCTCGACATAGGTCCAACTACCCTGCCACTTGCATGGTACAGGAATTTAACTGCCTGTATGAATCCCTAACAGGTGGGCCTTACAGTAAATACCACAGCCGCTTTTTTACATAGAATTATGCTTAACCACCTTTCTGCTAGGCGCAATGGTTGTGACCCTTCATTATGTTCTTTGCATAATGTACCCCCAGGCATACTCACAGCAATGGTTAATTGTCTAAATTTTTGACAAGGCTGAAAAAATAATGCTTTCTGGGGTATGTCAAGACAAGATTATTGCCATCTGGAGGTGATTTTATATTTATTTTGGAAGGAGTCTGATAAATAGGTATTTAATTTAGTTAAAAAAGAAGGCGAAGTGTTTCAGTTTCCCCTGCTGTGCTTGGATGATGTTGGGAAAGGCAAGAGGAATATGACAGGCCTCAGGGAGAAATTGTTTCAGTAATCCCCCTTATATATACTAGACATTCGACAAAATTTGATCAAATCTCAAGACAAAACATGTTGTTGTGTTACCTTGCAGTATACTACCTATATGTACAAACTTTCAAGTGAATCAGACCACATCTTTCAGAGGAATCGGCACAAAAATGGAAAAAAACTAAATGGCTGCCAGTCGGCCATTTTGGTCGAAATTTTGAAAAAATATGATGTGCTCGTGTAACCCAATATACATGATCATCATACAAAGTTTGATTGAAATCGCCCTATTTAGCCCTGAGAAACAGTTCCGGACACGTTACAGACTGTGATTTTAAGATTTTAAACAAAATGGCGGCCATTTCAACAAATTTGATCAAATCTCAAAACAAAACATGCTGTTGTGTTATCTTGAAGTATATGTACAAACATTGAACTGAATCAGACCATATCTTATGGAGGAATCAGCATGAAAACGACAAAAAAACAAAATGGCCACCAGTCGGCCATCTTGGATCAAATCTAGAAAAAATAAATGTAGTCCACCTATAACCCAATATGCATGATCACCATACAAAGTTTGATTGAAAGCACCCTGTTCAGCTTCGAGAAACAGTTCCGGACACGTTTAAATATCAGAATTTAGTAAATTTGAGGACAAAATGGCTACCAGTCAACCATATTTAATGGAATCATAACGAAAATTGGCATGCATATGTAGGTCATCATACATTGTCTGTATGCCAAATTTTAGATTGGTCAAAGGGTGTCCGAGAAATGGCTCCCAGACGAACACATGGACACATGGACGGACAGAACCCAAATTAATAGTCCCCGTTTTCGGACTTTGTCGAACGAGGACTAATAACTTTATTAAACAACCAAAACCATCAGAGGGTTTAGTATGGTAAAAATATGTATGGTATAGTCCACCAAGTGTGCAGGGTGAGTGATGCTCAGCTACCAT